TTATTATATTCATTATATTCTTCTATGGACACTCAACAAAATCATAACGAGATTTTTTATAAGTATATATAGCTATTTCGTTTCGTGTTCATTCTAATATAATGTTTGCCCTTGTCAGTGCTAAACACACTCAGAAATAACTTAATATGTATGTACTCTCTTAAACAAATAAACGACGAAGAAAAACATCGTGAGGAAACTTGGACTTATAATTGCTATTTACAAGTTTGAAATCACTAATCCGCCTTGAGCAAGCTTAGTGATTACCTAATGCTCAAACCGTCTTCGTTCAAGAAGAGGCTCAACAATTAACTATGATGATTTTCTGTAAGGAATCGTACAGTTACACATACTTACTTACTAAAGTAATTTATAAGCAATTTCTAGAGTTTTTTGGTACCAAATCGAAAGTTTTAGAATATCCCTCTCTGGAAATACATAACATCTATCTGTTACATGTTTTGACTTCAAAACTTACTTATTAGCATATAAAATTGCCGTATGTAAGTTCAATTGAAATTGAGCTCAATTCTTATCGTACTAAAGGTTAATTATTACGTATAGTACACGTTGATTAGACCTTTGAACCATTGAATGTGATGTATATGAGTGAATAATTTAAATTATTACGTAAAGGAGTCACTGTAATACTAATTCAGATTTGTTTACCGCAAATCCCTGTTGGTTTTGTACGGTTTTTGACATTCGATTTTGATTGCTAAAAATAATAGTTTTTTTTTTGTTTGTTTGTCGTGTTTCTGACTTCATTTGGTAGTCTAGATTTTGGTTATTTTTTTCCTTAAGAATAAAAAACTTTAAGGTTAAAAAGACTTTATTAAACACATTAGAGTATTGAAATTTGAGCATGTGATAATATTAGCGTGATTTTTAATAAAAGAAAAAATCTGGTATAGTAAAGATAGCTAGAAAAATACAAAGAAAGTAATCAACCAATTCTAAATCCCCTCCCCAAATCTCTAAATCACTCTTAACTCCTTTAAGTCCATAGACGTCAACGATTGCTTACCATCTTATAAAAAACAAACTCGAAATAGTTAGAATAGAGACAAAAGACTGAATGTTGGTTGCATTTTCATAGTTCCTCGGACGATATTAAAGTGATCATGTTTGTGGAACTGGCAAACTGTACGCTATTCTACTAACCAAAATGAAATTTTGAAACACTTGCATACAAATTGACTTTGTGGTGATATTATTTTGTTTTGTTAGATATCGTCTTAAGCACAGTTATTTATCGTAACCGCATTGTAAGTTAGTTAGGTAAGTAAGTAGGAAATTCGTACGTGTAATTTTATCAATAAATCTCAATTTTCTGTGAGGGGAAAATCGTCAAACGACTTCTCTCGCCCAGGGTTTGGCGAGAGGGAGTGTCAGAATCATACTGAATAAAAACCCCTCCGATCCTTCTTCTGCTTAGGGCCGTACTTCATTGCACTAGCCTAACAGCCCCGGCTGAACTGCGGCTCTGGTACGGCCCCGTCTGTGGTGGTCTATTGGCTCTTTGAAGCGTGCGCGGAACGCCACGCGCCGTAATTTTGGGTCTGGTTCTGGTCGGGCGACAAGTTACCCTTACTCGCCCCCTGCAGACTCACGCTTATGCTGGCCGCAAAATAACATTAAGAGCATCCAACGTTCATGTTTTATTCAATCTCAACCAGTTTGTCGATGAAATTTAGTGACAAATCAGACAAACAGATTTTGTGTTATTATTAAATCAAAATTTAATGTGAAACAATGTTGATACCCATTGACCATTTGATTGATCCGTCTTAATGGAGGAGCACTATATGCAGATGCAGAATCTCTATCCCTGCAGTGCCAGCGTAAGGGCCACTGACACCCCGAGCGAAAATATCGTGGCGCCCACTTGAGGGAAGCAATATCAAGTGTTACATACCTACATTTTTGATCTGATCCCAAGCAAAATAAAAATTGCATGTGCACAGAGCGTAGAGCACAGTTCTGAGGGTGTTTGCACTAGGAGAGGCAAGAGACTCCAACTTTAGACGATGGCGCCCTGGGCCATCTCCCCATCACCCCCCCCCCCCCCCCTAACGCCGGCACTGTATCTCTGTAACAATATTATCGAAGAAAGATTTGTTTTTTATGAAATTTCGAATGTTCCTGGTTGAGAGATAAACCTGACTGGATCTATTACTAAACTGAATATTGGATTTCAAGTCCATTCCACATTAAGAGATTTTTTCCAAAAAAGATTAGCTTTACAATTTATCTGTAGATTTCATTACACAAACTGTCTCCAACACCATTATTATACAGGGTGTCCTCGATAAAGATTCGGGTCCATCTGTCACAGTAAGTCAAGTCCAATAAATATCGTTTTCGGAGTTTGTGGAGCGGAAACTACAAATCATTTGAATTCTTTACTTCCTTTTATTTATAAGCTGTGGAGCTATGATAAAGGCGCACGTTTAACAGCTATGTCAATATAAAATGTAACATCCTGTACGGATTGCATAACAACGAAGATGTTCATAATGTAATGGTAAATAATTATACATTATGAACAAAAACTCGGAATAATCACTTGATTTTTTAGTAGACACCATTCAAAGACGATTAATCTTTTTTAACCAACTTGTCTAAGACTGAACCTGACTAAATCGATGCCAAGTGTATCAACAGCAGTAGTAGTAGTGAAACAACAGCAGTATTAGAAAAATATATTGATCGGTACCTCCTAATCATCAAACTATTAATACCTAGGTATATAGGTTAGGTAATGTTTACACTATTTTCGTTTTACTTGGTACCGAATTCAAGATTATAAAATGGTTATTAATATTATTTTCTATTTAACTAAATGAAAACATGTATTAATTTCTACAAAGAAAATTAATTTTTTGCTTTTTAGTTTACTTTTTGAAGTCTAAATATTTTTGTTTACGAATATGAGAGGCAAACGAACAAATCTATCATCTACTAGTTAGTAATTAGCGTTGTCCATGGATACCTTTAATGACAAAGTAGTCACAAAAGGGTTGATGGCATTTTCAGAAGTCTTTTCCTGAAGTTCATATTGGCAATCAGTTCGTTTATAATGCATATTGTAAATACAGAAATCATCTGTTGTAGATATTAAATCTGATATCAAACTTATAAATGGCAATAACTCTCCAATAAATGGAAGTCATCATAATATTACGTCGTAGGAACACAATTATTCGATTTGTATAAAGTGTCGATACGAATTTTGAAAATTTTAAGGCAATTTGCCCTTAAATTATTGTCAATCAAATTGGATGTTTGACCTTTGAATTTTAAATAACCAATTAAGATACGTTGTAAATCTAAGATAGACAATTTAAAACTTCAAGTGGGAATGTTTATGTTTAATTTAAGTAAATATTTTGATAAGACAATGAACATAATATGTAGTTTATATTTGTCACAATCAATTTGTTCTTTTATTTACTATTAATATTACTGAACTACATGGGTGTCTTTATCAATTCAATATTAAACTTCGCACATGGCTCACTTGACTATACATATACTATGGACTTGTCCCGGCTTCGCACGGGTGCAATGCTGATTGCCTTTCATTTAGAACATTGATATTATACATATAAACCTTCCTCTACAATCTGTCTATCAATCAAAAAACTGCATCAAAGTATTTTTAAAGATATAAGCATACATAGGGATATAGGGGCAGAGAAAGCGACTATATTTTACACTAGGTATGTAGTGATATTAATTGAAACAATGAAACAATGAATTTATTTTTGCAAATAGGCCACAAAACGGCACTTTTACACGTCAAATTATATGTGAAAAACTAGATGAAGCCGGCTATATATTTTGCTAAAAACCTCGACTAACACTTGAGTTACTTACTGAGGCTTACGCCAGACAGTTGGGTCAAGAACTGATGCAGAAAGCTGAACTTCTGGACGCGTATTGTTCGAAGGTTCCTTTATTTAGAGCCCTGAACATCGATCGATTTTACCCCTCCCCCCCCCCCCGTTAACGGTGGGATACTACTTTATAACATTTAAAGATTTATTTTTCCATAACATGACAGTATTTTTTTTATTATTATTCTTATTAAATGCTTTCACATATTTAATAAGAATAATTCAATAAAAATATGGAATATACAAAATATTATTTTGTAAGTACCGGAATAAAATGGAGGCAAGTATCAAAACTTTAACATCAACAAACAATAACATTTAAAACGACAAAAACGGCAAAAATTTGTTGACCTTAATCCATTCTCCCGGCCATTATTTCTGACAACGTAATAGTACCGATAAATATAAATCTCTTTTGTAAACATTGTGTAATATAACACTGGTTTTGTAATAAAATATAACGGTTTATTGAATTTTACCCCCTTTTTATTGTCAATTTACTCTCGTCTGTAGACATAATTTTAGGTTTTATTTTATGATCAAAACCGTGAATTTTCTTAATAATCGCTCTTCTATTACTCAATAAATAAATCATTCTGGAATATTCCTTAGTCCTTTCGTCGAGTTTTTACGTAATAAAAATTCAGTAATTGTCAAAGTTTGTTAGAATAAAAATATGTTCGTCTGTTTCTTATTATCATAAATCAAATTATTCATTACTGGGTTTTAAATGAATGTAATGAAGTTATTAGAAGAACGAAAAGTAAGAACTTTTTGTATTAAGTATTTCACGACAATCAATTTTTCTCACAATGTTTTCCTTCACCTATACTAGTATGTAGTCTCAAGAATCTTAGAAAGTCCGTAAAGAAAAATTCATATTTTCCTCCTGACTTCTAACAAGCAGAAACACTTGGGCGACTACAATATATTTTATGACTACTATAATACCTATTTGTAACAGATGTTCGTCCAGTTATGCTAAAGACACTCGCTATTAAGTTACTAGCTACTTTGCTTTAGTTAGTTCCGAGGTTGTCCTTGAAGTTCAGCTGTTGGATGCAACTGACAAATAATATTGCTCTTCATCCACCAGCCATGGTTCAGTATCAAAATCAAAAAGAGGATGGTAATTCTCTTTAGTATACAGGAATAGTTGCCGATATCTGTCCTATTTTGTTTCAGTAATGGATAAAGTATGATTAGTTTTACCCTCCCAAACGTCATGTTGATACAAAAAACTATAAAATTATATTGACTTAAAAATAAAACATTAAAATTACTGAAAGATTACGAAAATAACTACGGGGATTGTCCTTGGGTGCATTATTGTGGTGTATACAGGAATAGTTGCCGATATCTGTCCTATTTTATTTCAATAAAATGGTCTAAAAGGCCTCTAGGCAGTTGACATTGGCCCCTCGTACGCCTCCCAAATGTAACGGGACCCGTAATTAGTCTAACTGAATTGTCAGATTGTAAGGTATATTGTATTTTATTTTTTCTGTTAACAGGACAATTACAAGATCAGACGAGTGCCAGAACAAACACGCTGTTTGACGATGCAGATGATATACAGAGGCAACTTGATAACGAAGCTAGGGATCGCATTAAATTTGGCAGAGTAAGTATAAAAAATTACTTAAAAGAAGCACAAGTTGAATGGGTTTAATAAATTGTTTATCATTTTAGAAGTAACGAAAGAGGTAATATTAAATGAGCTTCGAAAATTATAAAAAGGCATTATACATATATAGGTATTGTAGTCCATGCCAACTGACTTATTTTGATTGGCTTAGCTTATTTTATCGGATTGTTGATTTCAAACTTTAAGCCCAGTTCCTGTTCCTGCCAGTTTCCTTACAATGTTTAACTTAGAACACCAACATTAATGTTAAAACCCACCTCATATACACACAAACACCTACCTACTAACTCAACTAACAACTAATTTTTTCCTTTTTTTTATCTAATTCTTAACTTTTTTGTTTTTTTTTCTCTTTTATACAATGTGATGTAAATTAAGTAATTTATTATTATGTTATAACCTAGTAATAGCCCTCTTTGCAACGCCTGAAAAATGGCGTTAAGCTGTGCCTGTTATTTTAATTTAAGATCCTTGTACCCACCTTAACATGCAAATAAAGAATTTGAATTTGAATTTGAACTTCGCCGGTGGTGTGTGGTGGTCTACATAATCATAGGAAGTACGTAAAACTCTGAAAAAGTTACATAAGTACTTGCCAGGTTTCAAATCCACAAATCCATGCTTGAAAAGCAAAGGGCCTTTACCTCCGGGTCACCCCTACGTTCGCCACCACGATTTATATCGAATTATATTCGATTAATATATATCGTCGAGGCTAAGGATCGATAAGCCCCAGTCGCTGGATGCTACTCGCTTTCCACCATGCAATCTGCATGTCGTAGCAGACGACTTACAATTCAGCAGTTGATAAATAAATTAGACAAAAATAATGAGCACTTTTCGTCTTTTTTCAGCCAAAAACTATTTGGGTCTTCCATTTTCCAACGCATTTTCCTGACCACAACTCCATAGATGAAGATCCTCCTGAAAACCAAATTAGATATCCGCGGGACTTGGTAAGTTTATAAGATAATTTTGTTTATATATTACTTACCATTGGTAGTACTGATATTTTTATGTATAAATTTATTAAACTTGTTACAACTAAAGTTTTTAATGAGATCATCTTATTAAGAGAATCAAATCCAACTTAATATTTGCACGAACCATCGGTACAAAAACATTACACTGACACCAATATAAGGAATGATAGCGTTAAGAAGTAGTCCTCATTTGAACTAGAATTTAAAATAAAAGAACAGCTTCAAAATTATGCATCAACCGTAAAAACAAAACGTCTAGATACTAAAATTTGTATGCATAAGCTAGTTCTGAGTTAAAGTACTTCTGCTGCACTTTTTCCCAAGTTTTTTTGTACTTACATTGTCAGCAATTTTAAAATGTCACGTCCATAACTTATCACTAGAAACAGTTCTTAAATTGTAAATATGTTGAGTACACAAAGACAGTTATATTATTAGTTTATGTAAACTCTGTTATGGTTGTGAATATAAAGTGTTGGATTTACTAAATAACCGAGTGGCTAGTCTGGTTCAGAGGCATTAGAATGTGATATATGTAGCTTTTGCTAGAACTGCGTTCAGATTTTCCTAGTAGTGACAATTTCATGGTATACTACACAGAATCGTGTACAAGAGTACAAAATATGTAGCTTTAACTAGACTATCATGGGTGATAGAACTTCGCTGAAATTTTGCTGCGACGATCAATTTTATGAATTGCTGTGCAGAATCTTGAAATTCCACTATATTGAAGGTTTGCAACTCTTGTCGTTTACGAGACTAGGGCAAATAATTAAGAAAAAAACATAAGCTGTTGTTTCCTGGTATGGTCTGGTTTTTTTTACTGAAATCAATCCTACTAAAATTATTAAAGAAAAAGTTAGTAGCATAATTTTTTGTTACTCTGTCACATAAAACTTTTTTTGAGTGGATCTTTAGTTGGTAGGGTAGGGTAGGTAGAGTAGGGTAGGTAAAATAGGGTAGGTAGAGTGGGGTAGGCAGAGTAGGGTAGGGTAGGTAGTCAAATGACGGGAGCGACGCCGCGAGTAAGAGCTAGTATTTTTTATAAAATAATATGTCTTAGACAAATCATTATACTAAAAAGGATCAAATTTAAAACTAGACATGCCAGTGCAGAGAAATTGGCTATTGTAGAAGAGATATTATGTCAAACTCGTGCTCGGTCAAGCCACGGTTAGGGAAGTAAGAGCAAAGAGCCGCGACAATGTGGTGCGGTCGCAGGTAGGAACAGGTGAAGGAATGGAGTTTTCAATCAGTAAAAGTCTGGCATTCTCTCTCTCTCTCTCTGCCTCTCTCAAAAGAGGGAGAAGGAATTATAGGATTTTCGCTACTCAAAAAAAAATCTTGTTTAATTGAAACAAAAAATCGTATTCATTATACTGTACTGTGAGATGGATACTTTTCAAGCTTTAAATTACAACTCCAGGGACATGCCATTATTTGTGAACAACACAACAACACTACTTAGGTAAACCTGTAAGATATTCTATTGTCATTTTATTCAAGATTTTACAAAAGTCAACACTATATTCAACTCGTTGAAGACTAAAGAGAAAAATAAATTTATATGATGAAAATTTCAAAATTTTTCTAACAGCAGCCCTCAAGAGCCTCATTAGGGTGTTTACGTTTTAAAAATTTACAGAAGAAAGGTCACTTTATATTAATAGTAGAAGCCTTAAAATGTGCGCTTCTATTTTCATTAAGGGTTCCTGAAAATTCACCAAAGAACTTCAGGATATTATGTACAAAGCTTTCGAGTTTCAGTCGGTTTTAATAAGGGAGAGATTGTACTTCCTGTTTTAAGAGTATAACAGTTAAGTGATGTTTACGTAGTTTAATGATTTTAATATTCATTTTATTTCTTATAAACAACTAGCTACTACCGCGCGGTTTCACCCGCTGCTCAGCTCTATTTGATCGTAGCGTGATATTTTATAGCCTATAGCACTCAGGAACATTGTAGCTATCTATCAGTGAAAGAATTTTGGTAATGTGGCCAACGGTTCCAAAGATTGCCCCCTACATACAAACTTACTAATTTTACCTCTTTATAATATTAGTATAGAAAATGTTGCTCCTGACTAAAGTTTTAAAAAGTATCTCCTGTGTTACACACAATACATATACATAATATTCACATCCATAACACACCTAGTCCCGGATAAACATTTTGTGGATCACACAAAGAGTCGTACTGCACGACAATGGACACATTGCACTGAATTCAGTTGCCGAGCCATGGCGCCAATCCTACAGTCATAAGGTGTTTTGGGTTAATTTGTAATCATGCAAAGTAAACAAATAAATATTTTAAAAACTAATTTAGATAATTACTTATATTACCTGTTGCAGCGTTAGGTTAATATAGGGTTATTCATATAAGTGTAAGTATTTTTTTTTTTTTTTTTTTGTGAGGGGAAAATCATCAAATGACTTCTCCCGCCCAGGGCCGGGCAGGAGGGAGTGTCAGACTCTTACTGACTAAAAACCCCCCTGTTCCTTCTCCTGCTCTGTGCCGAGGTCGCGGTACCTTATTGCGCTTACCCCGCAACCCCGGCTGAACATCAGCCCTTTAGGGCCCCGTCTGTGGTGGTCTATTGGCTCTTTGAGAAGTGTAAGTATAAGGTCTCGTTTACGTACACGCGCGGCGTTGCGCGGTGCGTATTTCGTTTGTCGTACATTACGGCATCAAGTCGTGTCAACGGCCGTGCAAATACAAACATATGAACATCACGAGCAATGTATGACGAACCGCACATCGCACCGCACAACGCGCTGCTTAAACGTAAACGAGGCCTAAGTAAGTAGTAAGGAGCGCCATGATTCTCTATTAATGACGTAGATATTTCGGTAATGGTACCACACACAGCTAAACAACGAGGAAGAACCAAATCCTCAAGTCACTAAGCCCCATAAAACTGCCATTGCAAATAACATTTTGTGGTTTCGGGTATCCTAATTCCAATAGACGGCGCTGGTTACAGCCAGAAGATTCGTAACCTCGCAAAAAGAAGAACTCATCAATGTTTTTTTCTTTGTTCAACAGATTCTAAGAAAAAAGCCTCAAGAAAAGAATGAAGTTCATGTTGATGCCAATTTGATGACGCCGCCGTTGCGTAATGATTTATTATGTTTCGTTTTTTTTTAATTTTGGTTTCTCAAAAGATCATTGTCTAAAATTAAGATATTATTCTTATTTTTATCATATATTATATAATAATAAAATATGGGAAATTAGCTGTGGGAGGGCCATTCTTTTGGAATGAATCGGCCGGATTGACCGGAGCGATCTCTCCCCAATCCCTAGATCCCCAAAACCTAATATCTCTAAAAGGCCGAGTACTTGCAACTACTCTAGTTTTAGGGATCTCCATGGGCGGCGCCAATTACTTACCATCAGGTAATTTGGCGGAGTATCACATAAAAAAATATGAAATACTAGCTAAACTCGCGTGGTTTCATCAATTGCTCAGCTCCATTTGATCGTAGCGTGATAGCCTATAGCACTCAGGAACATTGTAGCTATCTATCAGTAAAATAATTATGGCAATCCGACCAGCGGTTCCAAAGATTACCCCCTACATACAAACCCACAAACTTACTAACATACAAACTTTAACTTACGAATTTTACCTCTTTGGAACTTGGTTAAAGGGTTTTAAGAATACAATATATTACAATATATTTATAAACACTACATTGAAGTGCCTAACAATTAAATTAATTTTTATTTATTATTATTACAGCTCCATTTCTTTATTGGGATTACAACGGTAAGTTTATTTTCTTTTTATTTGCATATATTATATACACAAAAATAACGTATTAACCATTTACTTAGGTTTCCATAATAGGGTCCAATTAAAAATTATTAGAAAAATATAAATTTTTGTCCATCGTCGTGTTCGTATAAATTTTTGTAAGAAAACTTTGGTATCTGTGGCTAATTCTTTTCATACAAAGTGGTGCCTAAAGGTCGCCCAAAGTAGGTAATTAAAATTTTCTGGTACACTTTGCGCCGTATATTTCGCCTAGCAGTTTACATAATAAGCTTTTAGCATTAATGATTGTGGGCGTGCGAGTCACATAGCATTTGTAAATAGATTAGTCTCATTCATTCGTAAAGTTTCCATGTAGGAAATTTCCTCCTTAAATGAGAAAGGATAAGGGTCAATAAAAATCTAAAAACTTAATTTAAGTTTGTTCTTATCTTGAAACATAATTAATACCAATTTAAGAACGTAAAATTAAGTGAAATATTACCAATTAAAAGGGTTTTCCACACGGATACTAATTCCCGAGCCTTATTTTTATATTCATTACTAGCGTTCCGTCCCGTCTTCGCACGATTGCAACGCTGTTTTAAAATCACCTCAATATTTATAATGAATGTTATTATACATATAAACCGCCCACTTCAATCACTCGTATCTAATAAAAAACCGCACCAAAACCCGTTGCATAGTTTTGAAGATTTAAGCATACAATTTCTATATATTATATATATATATATTAGGAATATAGAGACAGAAAAAACGACTTTGTTTTGCACTATGCAGTGAAGTACTACTACTATTTTTGCCTCCCAAAAATCTTTGTAAATTTAAATCGTATAGGTGTGGATAACAGTAGCTTTGTCCTTACATAGGTAGGCCTGAAAGGTTTGTAAAATTGTCATTACACGTCATTACACACGATTTAACATGTAATGACAATTTAACTCATTAGGCTTATTTAACTTAATTCTTGACCTTGAAAAATAATTGTCTACAAAACAGAAAAACAGACAATTTGATGAATCTCCGAACAAATAAAATTCTTCGTTCTAGAATTTTCTTTCGCATTCCTCAAGTTTTCCTTTGATTCACTTAGCCTGTTGTTTTAGTCGATTTCCTAAGTTTATCTCGGATTTTCTTTAAATTCCTGCGCAAAAGCTGGAAAATAAACCTAATTACCTCTCCTTAGGTTGCTATTTTCTTTAAACTTGATCTAATGAATACTTGAAGACAGACGGTCTCGAGATGGCTAGTTTGCTTTTGTAAATAAAAAACGCAATTGTTCACAAGACTCTTTATTTTATTTTCTGGTTGAGTGGAAAGGTTTGACCTCCATGTTTGTTTTAATGAGTTCCGAACATCTGGTAAACGGCTTAAATATGTTTCATACCTACACACAGGTTCGAGTCTCGCTTTATCTGCCTCGCTTTATATTATTATTATTAGAATGTGTAGGAATCCATACTTCGGCGTAAATGTTCCGGCTTGACCGGACTCAAAGAATACCAGCGTGGCAGAAAATACCTAAGAAACAGACACAGCGTTGCGTTTTGTCGTGTAAGGAGATTACCGGAGGCCCAATCCTTTCTCTCCCCATCCTCAATCCCCAAATATCCGAGCGTCTTCTCGTCTTCTTCTTCTTCTTTAATATACGAGCGTTTATGGGCGAAACATAATGTAGGGAATCCATCTTCTAGTTATCCGACATATCCCTTTAAAAATCTCTAAGGATAATGAAATGGGTTCAACTTTATCAGCGATAATACCAATTATTACCTGACTAAGTAACATTTGGAACGAGCATCCATTCGTGGAAGCCAGCTGGCTTTATAGACGGACAATTCAATTTTGACACCTAAAAAGTGCCTCTTTAAGCATTAATTGAAATTGATGCTTTGAATATCGAAATAAGGATTTTCATTTGAAGATTTTTTGCTAAAAAATACATTTGTCACACTTTTGAAGGGATACATTTTATCTACGCGAATTTATTAGGTATCCGATCGATTGAACTGGTCTTACATTTAGATGGTAATTTATTTTTTCAATTATTGTCTAGGTCAAGGAAAATGGGCAAAATCGTTCCCAGAATGCGGTGGAAAATCTCAGTCTCCAGTTGATTTACCAACAGCGGGGTTCATAAAGGCGAGAGGTGCAAGAGCACTACTTTTCCAAAACTTCGATGTGCAGCCACAAAAATTAACGTTCATGCATGATGGTCAACGAGGTTGGTGTGTTTTTTTTCTATCGAAATAATTTATTACTTTCATTTTTTATCAAAGTCATATAGTTTTCAAATAAAAAGCTCTTCTAATGTCACCCAAATATATTTTGTTTGGTTGGAGTTACACTTTGAATATTGAGTGAGCTGTGGCACTGATGAGTTCCGAGGTTGAAAATCCCGAAGAATTAAAATCAAATTGTAATTTTGAAAATTTTTATGCCACACCGTTCACAACACTAAGGACGAGCAAAATAATTTAATGTACTAAACATACGTTTATACTTACATCAGAGTTAAAATATTATATGCAAGTAACAGTATGAGTGGGCCACAACATACCTGCAATTTCTTGTGACGAACAAATATTTTATATTCTATTTTTTCTAACACAAGCAATAGTAAGCAAGATTTACACTGTTGTGATAACCTTTTTTCTAATTGTTTTAAGGCTGATTATTCAATGGTTAGATAAGTTTTTTTAATGTAATAGGTCGGCAAACGAGCAGACGGATTACCTGATGGTAAGAGATCAGCGCCGCCCATGTGAGACCCACAGCAGAGGAGTTACGAGTGCGTTGCCGATCTTTTAGGGATCAGGTTTTTGGAGATTAAGGGATTGGGACGAGATCAGGGGAGGCGAAAGTGTGGGCCTCCGGTAACCTCACACGGCGAAACACAACGCTGTGGTTAGGTATACATGCAGGTTTTCTGTGAGGCCGTGGTATCACTCCAGTCGAGCCGAGCCATTTGTGCTAAAGCTTGGCTCTCCCACACATAAAAAAGTTATGTGTGAGAATAATTATGATGCTGTCGCGTCAGAATGTTTGTATAAGACAGTGACAGCAACAATTTTATTCCTCAGATAACATTTATCTGACTATTGAAAATTCAGCCCTAATAATACTAAAATATTATGAACTAAGAAGCCATCGAATAATCACCGCGATGCATTTGGATACTCTTGAATTGTGTAACAATTCCTCAAAATATATTGATACTTAGTTATTATTAGGCTTAACGAGCCTGGACGATAATGATTTGTTAAATAACGTTTAAGGTTTTTCGGCGAATAACCCAAATATCGTGGATTAGTTTCGAAGCGGATTTGTATCTATTTGTGAATATCATGTCAGTGAGTGATAATTTAGTTTTTCTAATTCGAGGAAATGGGGATTTTCATTTGAGAATAGTTTGATGTTGTTAATTAGGCTGCTGTCGATATTTTGGAGTTGTTTCGCGAATTTATTGTTGTTGTGTTCTTATTTGCACGGTTGTTAAGTATTCGTACGTTATCGGTAGAAAATAGCTACCAATATACTTACGTGTTCGACATATAAATACACTTATGAAACATTCCTCATTTTTCTTTACTCAGTGTGTCATTTGACCTTCAAAGACTTTCTTACCAAATCAAATCAAATCAAATTCTTTATTTTAAATAGACCAAAAAAGGCACTTTTGAACGTCAAGCTAAAAATATATTAAGGTTTAACTTTATATGTGTCAGTCTGTCCGTCTGTCCTCTATTGAAGCTATTTGCTCGTTCCAAAGTGTAGATTCCTATGGAGAAGAACGAGCAAGAAACTCCATGGTTTCTTTTTTCAATCACTTTTTACAATGCATTGTTACATAATTTAGATAGTTCCATTATGTGAGAACAGTGTAACACTAGTGTTTAACCAAAGGATCCGAAAAAGAAATGAACCTCAGTGACAGCAACTTTAGACAGTCTCGAGTTGACCAGTCCCAATAGGCGGCGTCCGTTCACGGACATGACACGTACACCAGCACCGCCCAACTCAACCAAATTATAGGGAACCGAGCGGTCCAGTGCCCGTGCCACCGCCAATGAGACTCCTGAGTGAGCATGACAACTCCCAACTGACACAAGTACCAATATAGGTACTATAAGTCTAACATTTACAAAAATCCACGCATAATGTCCAGTTAACATGGTCTTTGTAGCTAAGGGCTTAGTCTTAGTGATTTTCGCAAAACTTTCTCGCTAACCTTCAAGAAACGTGCAAAATCTTTTTTAAAAGGCCAGCAACGCGCCTGTTTATCCTCTGGTGTTGCAGGTATCCATGGGTGGTCCATCAGATCAAGTGATTTGTCTGCATGATTGTCTCCTATTCCAATAAAAAAAAATCGGTATTGCCTTATCGCTTAGTAAATAGGGCCGTTTTTTATTCACTTGCGCCATTCACAAATACTAAAGGTAAGCACTAATCGGCGTGCTTACACCATTAGGACTTAGTATTAGTGACAAAAGCTAAATGCTTAGCTACGAAGCCCTTGTAAACCGGACTTAATGCGTTCAATAGAAAATTTACACAAAAACATTGAGCCGCAATATTTTCCTCAAAATAAATATCAAAAAATGCTATAAAAGTTTCCTTTATTTTTCACATAAATTCCAAGCAATTAAACCGGAGGTCAACGGACAAAGGGACGCGGAACAAGAAATGGATGAAAATTGAAAGATATAAATCAGGATTTTTCACCTTCAATGCTTTCGTGTTCTGATTGTAAAAACATGAAAAATTAGACAGCTGTACATGGAATGTTTTACGCGGGACGTATTGAGGAGTGAAACGCTCAGAAATATGCGCAATAAAATAAATCCGATTAATGAATTTCAATGTTTTTCTTCAGTTCTGAATTTATATACGCTTATACTTGTGTTTGGATAGTTAAATTAGTATACGAGTGGGTTGCCTCGACCAGAGTGATACCACGGCCTCACAGTAAACTGGCGTGAAACAATTTGGAGGAGGAATGGGGTTTCAGTTCTTCCCCTGCCCCAATCCCTCACCAATCCGAAAATCTCCAAATTCATTATCCGCAAAAGGTCGGCAACGCAATCGTAACTCCTAAGTTTTGGCACTGGGCCTTACAATTATGGTTATATAAATCAACCAATTTGCGCGTTTAAAAAATCTCCCTTGTTGTAAGCAACGATTCAAAACTGCTCCATACAACCTCATACTAAAGGCTAACTAATTCTAATCTTTTCTCTCTTTCAGTAATTCTTTTCGGAGAATGGAAAAGCGATCAGCGTCCTCTTATCTACGGCGGTGCTGCCCATAGTCGACGATACCTGTTCCACTCCCTCACTCTCCACCTACCAGCAGAACATACAATTGGTGGTCTTCAGTACCCAGCCGAAACTCAAGCATTTTATGTATCAGCTGAATATAAGAACATGGAACACGCTTTGGATGCATCTCCTAGCGATCCACAGGCTTTTCTTGCAGTTGCTAATATGTATAAGGTAAGATAAGTTTACCCTAATTTAGCCAATCTTTGTCTAATTTAACTAAACCTAATATTACTATTAGAGTAATAAAGTTTGCTTGTTTGTTTCCCCACTTTAACCACCGGAATTAAAATACTTAAACGGCACTTTAATTAAAACAACGAGAGCAGTAGAGTTTGCTGATTTTTTTCCCTTTAATGAATTGCGGTTTGATTTGCGTCCAAGGAAGGCTATGGGCTATAAAATATCATTAGTAAGTTATTAATTATGTTATACAAGAAGCACTTATAGCTAATTGCTTCTAGAAAATTTGTTATCGAAAAAATTATCAACCCTTTATTATGTTTCTATTTTTGAAACAAAAACACTGTTAATAAGTTCATTTTGAAATCTCTCCTGGATTTTATCTGTTACTAAGTTTATTAAAGACTAAACATAATTTATTTTCGTGATAAATTGTTTTCTATCTTAAATCGTCTGTCAGCTTTTATTCAGCTGACAAAACATTAACAAATTGGAAAGGAACCGGCTTATAATTTGCTTGACACAAAACACTAAAACTTTTTAAAAATAATTAGCTACCTAATCAAATCCTCGTTTTTTCCTCCCTTATCTCATTTAGATTGGATCAATCTATTCTTCTTAATGGCTCTTTTATCTTGAAACCTGTCCAACAAAGGTAAAATACTCTCACAATTAAAATTGGATGAAAAAAACTTTGGAGGGGATTACGCCATAATTTGCTTAGTGACCTTTGGATATTTTAAAGTTAGTGTCATTTTGGATAATCTTTGTTGATTTTGATGCCTCGTGGACAGGTATTTTGTAGTTTAAAATAGTCTCTATTACGGGGCATACTTTAAGCATTTTACCGTACGAATTTTCATACAGTAGGTATTTTAAATCAAACGTCATTGAAATCGCTGAATCGATTTGAATCGAATTTTGACACCTTATTGGTTAGTTTAGAAACTTAATTACATTTTTGAAAAAGAGTCTACAAAGACAGATAGAGAGAAAATCTCAAACAACTGTTCGATTAAGAAATATTTAAAAATGCACTTAAATTTTTAAATCTTTATCGATTGCGTATGAGTAAAACGTTTTATTAAAATCAAATAAGTAGTGTGGGTTCAATGATTGTTTGTGTGAAAACCCTTGGCACGTAAACACTCTTGATTAACCAACCCCAAGCGTACGCCGGCGTTCAGGCACTTATTATTCTTTTATTGTATCTCGTATAGTACAGCGTTGAAAATTCTATAAGTATAATGGACTGATACCAAGATCTAATTAAAAGTACTACCGATGTTTTTTTGTACAAATTTCCACCAGCAATGGGTGCGGGTTTGTCTAATTATACGAAACGATATAATCCTTATATTAATTACATTTAAGCTGCTTAAATAGATTATACTTTTATAGGTCATTAACACCACTTTGAAAAATAAATAGCCAGGTTTAAGCAGTTAATAAAATTCCACAATTTATCACAGTGTAACGGTCTTTTAAAGCTGGCAGCGTCTAATGAAGTGGAAAAATAAAATTGTTCATTGTTATACCAACAGTGTCGTGTTAGGGCGTTCCACCAAAATGATTGTATTGTAGTATTTCTTTTTTATTATTACTATACTATTTTATTTTTATGGAATGGGGTGGCTAATGAGCTGGTGGGTCACCTGATTGCTAGCTATCGAGGTCATTCATGGATACCCGAAACATTGAAATTGTTACAAGTGCATTTCCGACACTTAGGGTGTGGTTAGGGTGTGGAGATTTAAGACAGGGGAAAAGATCTCCAGCAAAACACAAACAACACAACGCAGCGTTGCTTCATGCTAATTTTCTGTGAAATAGTGGTACCTACTTTTCTCTGACTAGCTATTACTTATTCTTTATATCAACTTGTAAAAGGAAATTTGTTTTATTGACATAAACATCTAAGTATACTAATATTATAAATGCGAAAGTAACACTGTCTGTCTGTCTGTCTTTTCTTCACGCCTAAACGACTGAACCAATTTCCGAAAAATTTGGTACAGACATAATTTGGAATTCGAGACCGGATAGTTTTTATACCAAAAATCTGCAGGAAGTCACTATTTCAATTGTGGGAGAGCCATGCTTCGGCACGAATGGGTCGGCTCGACCGGAGTGATACCACGGCCTCACATAAAACCGGCGTGAAATAACTACAGCGTTGTGTTTCGCCGTGTGAGTGAGGTTACCGGAGGCCCAATCCTTCCCCTCCCCCAATCCCTCCTAAATCCCTAAATCTCCAAATCCCTAATCCCTAAAAGGTCGGCAACGCACTCGTAACTCCTCCGTTGCGAGTGTCCATGGGCGGCGCTGATTGCTTACCATCAGGTAATCCGGCTGCTCGTTTGCCGACCTATTAAATAATAATAAAAAAAACTATACCACGCGAACAAAGTCGCAGGCAAAAGCAAAATATATAAAAGTTTTTAGTATTGTTAAATCTAATAATGTTACCTTAATCCTGGAACCAACTTCATAATTCATTAAATAATATTGGCAACGTAAACATTCCAAAACGTTCCAGAATGTTCTTAGAAAATAAGTCACTTTAGTGGTTTTCCAATATCACGAAACCGAATTCAGTATAAAAATAATCTCCCTTTGGACCTCCGACCGAACTCTGTTCCTCTTAGTCGATAGATTTTCTAGGGAGTATTGCACCAATTTTCACATTTTCGCGTTAAATTTAGCTTAAAATGGTAATTTTCCCCTTTTGCTAAGGACCGAGACAGTACCTATCTATTGTTGTGGCTTATTGGGAATAAATAAAAGCTGAGCTGGCTAAAATATTGTCACAATGGTTTTGAATTAACATAATACCGAATCTTTGAATTCTGAATCTATCTTTTGTGGTGGGTCATTGCACTTTTCATAAAGACGCAACGCAAAAACTTATACAGACTTTAATTGTGCTTAAAGCAGAGGGGATTTTTGAAATGCTTGATTAATTAATATAACTGACGTGGAATCACGTCCTTTATTTAACGGATTTCAAGAAATGGGTGGGTAAGATAATATCGTCGTTCATTCGTGTAGGTATAATGTAATTTTATCGCGTATTTTATGAAATACCATTGCAATTCTGTTAATTAATCATGGTTGATGGAAGCTGTTTGGTGCTTTCAACAAGCAATTTTTGAAGCAAAAACGGGACATCTATTGTGTAGTAGACGTTTATTGAGTAATACAATAACTACCATTTTATGTTTCAATAACAATAACTGTAAATATTACAAAATAAATCTAATATTTTTTTAAACTATATTTTGGCAAAGGAACTGAGTGGTCGTCTGATGGAAAACACCAGAGGAGTTACAAGGGCCTTGCCGGGTGTCAACGTACTTTTTGGGGTTTTTAAATATTTGAATATTTGGGGATCGGGAAAGGACAGGGAAATGACAACACCGGCGCTTCTTTGACGTGTTCGGTTACCTAGCGGCCTACTCGTGACGAAGGATGGTTCTCCCACACTTGTCACAGTATAACAATAATATTTTTCATTATTCAATCGAATTTGTTCACTTTTAATAGTGGTTTAAATTATATCAGCACTATTTAAAGACTTCTCAATAGCTCAAGTAAATAGTGCAGCTTTTGAATTGGTTTCAATTCTCTTTGCAATAGAAATAATTTCAAAGTAACTGCATTGAGTTGTCTTAGTGCAGTCTTTGCTTGGCTTTCATTAATGAGCAAAGTAAATGGTGATGGATAATTCTGGTTACACAAGCTTCGCAGGTCTGACTTAGGAATTATACTTTGGAGAAGGTCACAGAAGAAGACTTTAAGATTAATTGTAGGGTAATAAGATCACCTTCTGTAACATAAGATTTGTTAAAATGATAGAAATGACTATTTTGTGTTCTAAAATATGCTAGGAAAACAGAACTCACTTCAAAACGTACAATAAAATGATTTCTTCTTCCACATTATATAAAATCTAAATGAAGCAGGCATTTCCCATCTGACTAGAAAAGTTAAAAAAACCACTGCCTTTTTAAAAGTCTAGACAAATATATAAGTGCAAATATGTGCATAGGTGTTGATATTTTTCCCAAATGCCAACCGAAACGGAGAAGATATTTAGTTTTACTGTTATTTTTATTGGTAAACCGAGCAGACTGTGTTTTGAAAAGCTGTAAGCAATATTAGAAATGGGGTTTTGTATTGTTCTGTCCAGTTACAGAATAAACAATTAGTGTTGTATATATGTATGTAGTGTATTCTAAATCTGGCAAGTACAAATGTGACGACTTTCCGACGAGTTATACCTATGTACTTTCTATTATTATTATTAAGACACCACTGATATACGGTGGAGGTAAACATCGTGAGGAAACCTGGACTCATGTATTTAAATTTATAAGTCTAAAATCGCCAATCCGCCTTGAACAAGCGTGGTGATAACGCTCAAACCTTCTGCGTGTGAGAAGAGACATTTGCTCAGCAGTGGGATTTTATGCTGATGGTATGATATGTACCTATAGTTTCTGCATAAAGCCCAATAAAATAGATCCGAAGATACAAGCCAATAAGCTGTAAATTTGTACATAGGCCTTTGTCCTGAGATCCTAAATACTAGCTCATGAAATTCGTCGTTAAATCTTGTCTGCATCACAAGATATTGTATAATTCTGGTATCTGGTAGTACATATTATGTATATTTAGTATACCAGAATTCAAAACCCAGGCATTATTGGCGAATACGATGGAAACAACTTTATGCTGTTGATTATTCCCTGATAGAGTATAATATAATATCTTTTATCGGATAGGCGTAATATGTGCTTTATTTATTGGGTCTTTTGCGGATTTCGCATACGAGATACGCTAAGACGTCCATAGAAAGTTCAGGAAGTCCTTGACAAATTGAAAAAGAGGCCTAAGTTCAGCACTTGATCTTTTCTAAAGTCTTCCTGATTTTAAAGGATTTTAAATGTTGAAGGTAACATTTATTTAGCGGCTCTAAGTGGCTTTATTGAGTTCGTTTATTGACATTTATTAATGTACTTTCAAAAAAATCTCTCACATTAAGCCCAACTTGATAACTGTCCAAAAGCTTATAAATAAGTAAATAAATTGCTAAATTATTAAAATAATGGTAATATTTTCTTGAATTTCAGTATTCAAACCACTCACACGCGGGCTTACAAGAACTTCTAGAATTATCAAAGACAGTGCGTTACCGAAATGTTACTATGAAGAAAACGAAACCTCTCAGTTATTTCAATCCTCCATTCAAAGAGTACGCTTGCTATCAAGGCTCCATGCCAACTCCACCTTGCACTGAATCTGTTCTCTGGCTCATTAGAGGAAGGGCATTGTCTGTCCAGAGGGTAAGTACTATATGATAAAGTAGAAGTAGTTGCCCCATAGGATGACCCCCCAAAAGTATGACGTCATAAATCCTACGTCACGCAAGCCAAATATATTTCAAAAACAAAGTCAACACGTTTATTGCAAATTAAGTGCTATGTTGATGATACGTTATAAAAAAATATATATCAATGATGTCAATTAGAGTCAATTTTAATACAGTAGTTTTATCAATGGACATGCGATTAAATGTTAATAGGAAAATATTCGTACAACTGTTAGGCGGTAGCGTTCCAGGCTTGAACTTGACTTCACCCTGTCGGGGATCAGCGGGAGGAAACGCCCGAGTGTCGTCATTGTGAGGACCACCTAGAGGATACGGTGGAGCATACGGTAGCGGTATGCCCTGCCTGGGCTGAGCACCGCCGTATCCTCAGGGAAGTGATCGGCGGCGGCGACCTCTCGCGCCCGGCCTTAGTCGAGGCCATGGTGCGGAGTGAGAGGAACTGGGACGCCGTCTCCTCCTTTTGTGAAGCAGTCATGCTCGCAAAGAGAGAGGCGGCCCGCGTGAGGGAGCAATCCTCCTCCTCACGCCCCAGCAGCCGCAACTGGCGACACTACGGGTGTCGGGGATCGAGGGACGATCTCCGGCCACCGTAAGTACGGGCCTGCGGTCGGCGAGTAAGGGCAGCTCGCCGCCCGACCAGAACCAGGCCCGAGCGTACGGCGCGTAGCGTTCCGCGCGCGCCTCAAAGAGCCAATAGACCACCACAGACGGGGCCCTAAAGGGCTGATGTTCAGCCGGGGTTGCGGGGTAAGCGCAATGAGGTACCGCGACCTCGGCACAGAGCAGGAGAAGGAACAGGGGGGTTTTTAGTCAGTAAGAGTCTGACACTCCCTCCTGCCCGGCCCTGGGCGGGAGAAGTCATTTGATGATTTTCCCCTCACAAAAAAAAAAAAAAAAAAAAACCCTGTCGGGGGATCCTCCTTTTTCCGATCTTAAGGAACATTACTCTGTACCCAAAGCATAAATTATATTATAATGGTGCTTTTGTTGCTAATGTCGCTTCAGGTCAAACAATTACGTATGATAAGTTGTGTAATGAGGACTGTGGTTGTATTACGAGGGGTTACAGAAACACTTCGTGACGCCATGAATGATGAAATAAGCATAGACAGTGACATCTAGACGAGATAATAATCTAGTGTTTTACACAATAAGTCACCGCAGCCTCGGTTTAAAGCAGGAGAAGGAACGAACGAAACGAAAAGACCTGAGTGTACGGTGCGAAGCGATCCGCGCGCTCCTCGAAGAGGCAATCGACCACCGCAGACGGGGCTCTATAGGGCTGATTTTTGCCCGGTTTTGCAGGATAGGTGCAATCTAAAGCGGCCTCGGCCCAGAACAAGAGAAGGAAGGGAGGGTTGTAGTCAGTAAGAGTCTGACACTCTCGCCTTACCCTGGGCGGGAAAAGTCATTTGATGTTTTTCCTCTGGCAAAAAAAGCTAGCGTTGTACATTGAGCTTTTCAGCTCCTGTAAAAATATTGGTTCAAGCTCCTTGAGACATGTTAATCTTCATTTTACAATCCCCTTATCTAATTACGATCATGTTGCCAAGACAGGCTGTAATGCTGGGGCCCTCGTTAATATGTCGTTTCGTTTGAACAAGCGATTTCATATCAAAACCTTCGTCTAACGACCTAGACAGAATCATAAATTATGAAGGTCGATCATGCACCATCTGCCGCCAAGTTTATTGATGAAAACTGTCAGAATTATGTACACAAAAAGCTACATATTAAAATAAATATTAAGAACCAATTTTAAGGCTATATTTTTCAACTTATTTCTGTTTAATATGACGTGCATTCGTGAATGAGTTATGGAATCTAAAAGAAAAGTTTTTAAGGTCTATTTGAAGTTTAATACGAGTACTTTGGATTTGGGACGATTTTATGCTTTTAAAGAGACTAAACTAAAACTAAGTCACAAGTGATCACTAGCTTAGATATCAAATATATTAAGTATTATGTTATAATCGATAATTCTAGATAAGTCTAATACTTCTGTCGTGGAAGATTATTTAACTTTTGGCACGGGATATGGTGAAAAACGGTGATGGTAAGTCTTCAGCGATGCCCATGGACACCCGAAAAACCAGCGGAATAGCAAGAATTGTAGTATGCTTTTGGGTATTTAAGGTTTGAGTATTCGGGATAGTGGAAGGATCTAGAAGAATGTGTTAACCATAGTTACTTTGACACATTACATTTCTTCATTAAATATTTTACGTACCAATAATACTTTACATTCAAAAAATTAAGCATTGCAACAAATTATACAACATTTTGTATCTGAAATTAATTGGTGTAGAGTCTGTATACGTATTGATTAATTAATGTTCGCGGGTCGTTGCCATATGACAGTGATTCATGATAATACATTAGCAGCGGTTACGTGTTCATGTTAATACTCATTATTGTCATTTTGCTTTAATTTGATAACAGTTAATTTTGCGAATGAATAATTTAATATTCAATACGTGTCCAGACCCGTAGCTACAAAAGTGGATGGATTTTATTTTAAAGTCTCGTCTTTTTTATGTTTACAAGATACAAATGCGTTTTCTTTTTTTACAGGATTAAATACTTTCGATGATTGCACTGACACACGATGATATTTATTAATTTTATTTATAAAAACATCTTCACTCACTCAGTTACCAAAATTGATTCCAAGTTGAACCGACATTAAAATATTTTGAGTAAAAAAAGTCTAAATACGAAGATAAACATTACTTACGTCAATTAAAACAAATACACACACATAATCAAATATTTTGTCAACAAAACGAATATACTCGACTTTTTAACCGACAGTAGTTGGTCGTCTCCTCGCTGGGGCTTTTAAACCGAATTTATGTTGTGCAGTATCCACAGTCATGTAAATTGCACCCAAGCGACAAGAAAAAAATACATTACCCAGTATACCCTCTAGCTTTTTGTTGAAATGCATTGTTTTAAATTTGGAAAACGTTAAAAATAAAAACGTTATCGGCCTTATTACAAAACAAGGTTTTACTTTAGTCTAGGACTAAACATATGAACCAATTTTCGTATTTTGAATTGAAGGACAATAAGATTCAAAATTCAAAATCTGACTCAATGGTTTAAACCTGGACTAAAGATAAAACTTGTTTTGTAATAAGGGGTATCTGTTTAAATGAATACCTCATTCGTCTAGCAGTCCCTCAATTCCCAGGTCGGGGAGAATTGGCGGTTCTATTTATCGTTGTTCTCGGTACCAGATATTTCGAATTAATGCTGTTATAAAATGGACTGTGCGGAAATCAAAGTCAAATCATTTATTTCAAATACTATAGGTACTTTTAAACATCAAAAAAAAAATCAAATGTTTAACTTTATGTGACAGTCTGGCGGTCTGTCCTCTAGTGAAGCTATTTGCTCGTTCTAAAGTGTAGATCCAATACTCAAACTCCATAGTTACAATAAATCAAGATGTACTATATTCAATAGTTATATGTATAAGAGAAATCACATTTATTTATGTGCAATAAAAAAGGGTCTAAGCGCGCAACACAACATCGACTTTATTTTTATGAGAGTATTAAGGCAATTATTAATTAACAGTTTTCATTACCTTCCAATTTAATGCTACCACTAAACAAAGGTTGTTGCTCTCAAACGAGCAATAACCAACCACGGCAATCCACCCCTATCTGTTTATGTTTATAACTATATCAGAATATCCATTCCAATTCCAAACACAACCTCTCGAAATAAAATAAAAATAACCTTTACTGTTTATTGAATAACTTTTGTCTTTTGAATATTGATAACAGGAGATTTTGATAAGATTCGATGACGTGTTTGTCGAAGATGTTTTTTTATAATCATAGTTCAAATAATAATGTATTTGGGAAACCCAAGACCCCAGATAGCAAAGAATATGACCATGGACAGACGGATCACAAATCTGACTCTGTATGTTTAACTGGGCAGTCCTAGTGATGATTTTTTTTAATAACATAGGTTGGCAAACGAGCATATGGATTACCTGATGGTAAGCAATCGGCGCCGCCCATGGACAACCGCAACACCAAAGGAGTGATGAGTGCGTAGCAGGCCTTTTGGGTATAAGGGTTTCGGCTATTTAGAAATTGAGGCCGTGATGTCACTCCGGTCGAGCCGACCCATTCATGCCGAAGCTTGGGCTCTCCCACGCTTCTTGTGAATAGTAGAATATTTAGGCCTCCTTTAGATTAACTATGTTGTATACTTTATTCATGTAGCTGTTCAACGCGATTACTACAAGCCTATCCAAAGTAATTTGTCTAGTGTGACATCTTTTCTTTCTAAATTCAAATTCAATCAATATTAAGGGCCTATAATCATGAGGAGTATAAGTGACAATTGATGCAACGATAGTTCCATATCCCACTGTTTAGATAACAACTCGTTAATAGAATATTTATAATCGGAATAGTTAATAAAGTAACATAATATTGATCATCTTATTTCAGGAATTGGTGGAAGAGATCCTCCTGCGAGCAACAGCGGAACCAAGACAAATGACCTTCCGTACTCCTCAACCGCTGAATGACAGGAAAGTTTATCTTTTCAAAGGAGTTACACGCTCGACAAATTATGAAACCGTATCTAGGATCGCCAGAAAAATGCCAGAAATTTTAAAACAATTGGGGAATTGTACCAACATCAGAGGAGTCATTTGTTTCTGATCTTTTGGGAGCCTGTTTTGTATAGCTCGAACTGATCCATTCGCTGAAGCCCGACTCTCCTGCATCAGAAAGAACCAAATGAAATGATTGACGCAAACAAAAATTTCTCGTATATTTTGAGGTACGAAAAATACACTGACATCCTTTCGGTTTACTTTTTTGGCAAATATGTATAATACGAATATTTTAAGCAAGTTTCCTTGACTTTGGTTATGTTTTTTTTCTTGAAGAGGATGTTATATGTTGTGTTTAACGGAAAACTACAGTGATTTATGTTTTGAACTTGTCTAATATTTTTGTATGCATTTGGAGATTTTCGTCTAATAATAGTATCTTGTAAAATAAAAGTGGAAATCAAATGTCAAATTCTGTCTTTTTTTCTATTATTTTTTAAACTATTCTTAATGATTAAGTCAATGTGCTTAAAAGTGAGATTTCAAGTTACTGACGTGATAACTGGTTAGTTTACGAGACTACCTCGTATTGACATATACTCTGACATGTAGGTAGGTACATGTACTCTAGTTGTGTTGATGCTTTACTTACTTCTAACTAACATAATGTTTATATTTTTAATGGGATAATACGGCAAACGAGCAGACTTATCATCTGACCTGCAGCAGCTGTAACGTTGAGGAGTTACTAGTAGGCGTTAGGGATTTGAGGGTTGGGAGATTGGGGGGACGGAGAATTGTGCCCCCGGTAACCTCACTTACACAGCGAAACACAAATCAAGAATAGTTTCGATAGAACATCGGCTTTCTATGCTTAAGTTTAGTCACAAAATAAGGAAGTACCTGCAACGTTGAGGCGTTGCAAGTTCGTCTCCGGCCGCTTTTGGGTAAGAGATTTGCGGATTAGAAGGTTAAGGGTATAGTGGAAGGCGAAAAGACGGTGCCTCTGGCAACCTCACTCACTCAGCGACACACAAAACAAGAGATTTTCACGGCTTCGTATTTTGAATCACATTCATTTTAGTCAATGAAATAGTAAGAAAATAGAAAGTATGCCATAAGTGCGACACAGACAGATAGAATCAATCAGTATGTGAACGGTCAGTATCGATTGTATGAAAGTTTAATGGGAAATGCATCGTGTAGTACAGGTGATGGACATCGTGTACTTGAAGACTATGTAAGGCGTGGTTCCAGTGCAGTATATTCTATTTTTAGAAGAAAAAAATAGTTAATTTAATTTAAAGGAATTTTAGCAAACCAGTTGCAGCGATGCAGTTTTAAGAGGAAGCTCTCCCCACGTAGGGCTGCTAAAGTCAAAGATTTCCATAAAAAACAATGAATATTGAAATGAATGTTGTTGGCGCGGTGGCTGGGCAACTGACTACCGCGTAACGTAGCGCGGCTATGATTTTTGCACGGAAAGACTGTGATCCACAAATCGTTGTTCCGGGTATGGTGTATATGAAATTGTATGTATCTAAACGCACCCGCGACTCAGGAGAAGATCCTAGTGTTAGGCAATGTTTCATTAAAAAAGATTAACTGGAATAACATCTAGTTATTTTTTATCCCTGTAGACAATATTAATTCACTGGTTAAATTAGAATGGTAAAACTTATCAAGTCCCATGCTACATGCCACTACGACAACTGTACAGTGAACTTTCATATAACTTCTTCCTTACTCATACCATTAATGTTATTTTAAAACTGTTCGTTCATGTGTTATTTTTTATTGAAAATGTAGAAGAAATGAATGTGTAAAGCGCTGTCTGAATGTACACTAACAATTTTCTTATAGTAAAATGATCAAGCGAATTACGTGATGGTAAGCAATCGGTTTCGCCCATTGACACCACACATCACCAGAGGAGCTACGAGCCTTTTGGATGCCTTTTGGAATTAGTGTTTTGAAGATTTATGGATTGGGTAAGCATGGGTAAGCATGAGGGAGGGGAATGATGACCACTGATAACCTTACACACACGGTAAAACATAACGCTATGATTGTTTTACAATGTAAACAACGCAGTGATCTTAATTTTATCGTCTCCTCGCCTTTACTTAAGTTTATTAAACCATTCTTTTCAACTTAACACCTTATGCAAGACTAATAATCAGCAAGTTTTATATCAAAAATGGGAAAGACTTTAGAACTTGAACAACCATGATTCTGGTTATTTCAGGTAAGTAAATCAATGATATTTCTAATAGGTTTTTGTAAGCCAATATGGGTTATAAGTAATACATAGGCACAGTGGAACCACACCTCAAGCCCTAATACGTGTAGAAACAGAAACAAAACGGAGGACTAGTTATCTTTCAGATAGTGTCGAGTTAAATCCTTCGATAACTTTGATAGATGATCTTGTGACAATACTAACGATTGTTCAAATCATAGATCAAGATACTTGGCGAGAGGACGTTGCCAAATTTTATAAGAAAAATGAGAAGCTCAAAAATGTCTGCATGTGAGTATTCTGTGTTATTTTTTTTACTGTCGTGTCGCCCCGACTTCGCATGACTGCAATAGTGATAATAAATTTCACCATTAAATTATTTTTACTATCCCTTAAACCATCCTCTTCAATCACTCTGTTTATTAAAAAAAGCCGCATCGAAACCCGTTACGCAATTTTAAAAATTTAAGCGTAGGTACATAAGGATTTAGGGACATTGAGTGACTTACACCCGGTTTTCGAAAGGCCGATCAGTGTTAAAATCAATTTAATCTCTTGTCAAGTCATCTGATTAGTTGACTGAATTATACACAACCAATCAGATGACTTGACAAGAGATTTAACAGGAGATTAGTTAATTTTAGCGTTGACAAGCCTTTCAGAAACCGGGCGTTAGATTTATACTATGTAGTGATGTCGCTCTACTTTTGTTTCACATATTTTGATTTGGCCACTTGATATAATAATTATATTAAATAATACATTACATTTTAATGAAATTTAAATATAAACAGTCTATTTCATAGTTTCTCGATTTCCCAAATTGTTATCGAGTTAAAAGGATGAAAGTTTAAACTTGTGGTTTAGGTATGAACTTTATAATATAATTATATGTGCCATAAAATTGAATTAAGATATTACAGAAATGCCTATAAATGAACTTAATATTCTAAAGCTAAAAGGTTTGGAAGTACATATTTTAAAACAATTGAACATAAATGAAAGAAAAACTTGTGAGCTTATTTATATATTATGTTGATAGTTGATAACTCTCTCCATACTAATCTGTGATATTATTATCTTCATTGTGACGCATTTGAATTAATGGATTAACGAAGCTGTCAGAGGCAAAGATAATCTTCGTCATATAACTTAGAACCGTTTTGGGCGCCATTTAAAACGAAATTTTAGGAAACTGTTCCTTGTTTTTTTTAAATCGTACAGGTTAGGCAGCTGTCTTATTTTACTTTTTTATACACACACACATTGTTCTTTCATTATTTTTAAAATCTTAGATGATAGATTAGGCACTTTTGCATACCTTTTTTGGAATAAAACCCTGGATACTATGCTACACGTGATTTTACAAAAACAAATAATACATTTAGCTTAATTATTTATGTTTTACAGTTTACGACGTAGTTGCGATGAAAGTATGGGCCCCGACGTGGCTTGAAACTATTCGAGTCACCTCGTCGAATAATAACGTTACTTAGCAAAACTAAAATTTGTCTTTTAGAAGAGTATCTGTAATACAAAATTACATGTAATTACAAATGATTTTTTCCATATTACTAGGCATATAAACAATAACAAAACGTTTCCAGCATATTCAGTAGTCTATCGATGTTATTATAATAATTGCTCTGACTTATATGTACTATCAGTGTCATAAGTGCATGGATGATTCCAAATCAAAATCGTTTGTACGGCGTTTCATCGCCTTAATTATATACCATGGATGACATAGATGGCGCTAGTATACTAGTGGTATTGAAAAATATACATTTATAGTTTTTATCAGATACAAAGTTATTAACTTAATAATTTTTTATACAAATTAATGCTACGATATTCCAAACCTTTTTAAAGCAAAGCACGCAATAACCAGGATTCGAACTCGGTAGCATAAAATTAACCGATGCCACTAGCCATTAGGCCATTGCGTAACCTTGAAATGTATTGAAATTATCCTACTGTTTATTATATTGAAGTTGTTTTGCTATTTAACCCGATCATAAATCTCAAAACAGTTGAGGGTAATTTAATATAAACTAGTTAAAAATTAAACCTTTTTGTTCAATCATAACATTCTTTACTATCTTTGAGTGAGTTCAGTCACGATTTGTTTAACAAGTTTTTAATATTTATTTTTATTATGAGTTTGCGTTCAAATATTGATATGGCTACGAGGGCCCAAATAATAGCATTGCATAATCAAAGCTTAAATTATACTGGAATTTCTAGAGAAACTGGCTTAAACGTAAGTATTCTTCTAAAATGACCGTTTGTTATTTATTTTATTATCCATGGTTATCGATACATGAAAATAATAAATAATACACGTCCCTTACAGGTAAAGACTGCCACTTTATGGATATCTAAAACTGTTTCAAGAAGAGGGTTCATTGGAGCACCGTAGTGGATCTGGCAGAAGACGTGATATTGACTCAGACCAGCTTCAACTTATGGGGCAAGGTTATGAGGGAAATTACTGGAGAAATGTCATCTTCAGTGATGCAAACAGTGAAAACTACATAGATGTGCTGAAAGACGTCATGAAGATGTGCTAGTGATAACGTTCGTGCAAGACAATAAAATTGTGCTATGTGTAATGTTCCATAATTTTATTGACTACTTTATAACCAGTAACTGTTATACAGTAATGATTTTAATGTTTTACTAAATATGAGAAATAAAAATAAAAGCAATATTAATATCTACAGATGCTATTGATTGCAAAATAATAAATTATTTATTTATTAATTACTATAAACAATTCGTCCCATATCTAGTGAATGCTATATCCCGGTATTAGAAATGTTATTGATTTAAGGTCTAGCTTCAATTTCTTCCTTGTTCTGGAACGAATACTTAAGCTATGAGCTTTTGTCATAACATGATGCACAAAATGAATCACTTTAGTCAAAACTTTAATTAAATTTTATGGGGAGGTAAAATAGTTGCAGAAGTAAGGTTGCATATCATATAGAATC